TCCGGATATCCTATATAGTCCAATTATCCCATATAGACATTCAGTAAAATTTCCCACCCCCATAACTCTGCCAAAACTTAGCCGATTTTCACGAGGATTGGGGTTTTCTTCATGGTTTGGCCCCTAGATTAATTTGGCATTTATATCTGGGAACATAATTTTTGGTCGAAATTCATGTAAGATTTGACAACCTGAATTCTTATATGGACATGTGTCGAAATTTCCCACCCCATAACTCTGTCAAAACTTAACCGATTTTCACGAGGATTGGGGTTTTCTTCATGGTTTGGCCCCTAGATTAATTTGGCATTTATATCTGGGAACATAATTTTTGGTCGAAATTCATCTAAGTGCGGGTACTCCGGATATCCTATATAGTCCAATTATCCCATATAGACATTGAGTAAAATTTCGCACCCCCATAACTCTGCCAAAACTCAACCGATTTTCACGAGGTTTGTATTTTTCTTCATTATTTGGCCCCTAGATTAATTTGGCATTTATATCTGGGAACATAATTTTTGGTCGAAATTCATGTAAGATTTGACAACCTGAATTCTTATATGGACATGGGTCGAAATTTCCCACCCCATAACTCTGTCAAAACTTAACCGATTTTCACGAGGATTGGGTTTTTCTTCATGGTTTGGCTCCTAGATTAATTTGGCATTTATATCTGGGAACATCATTTTTGGTCGAAATTCATCTAGGTGCGGGTACTCCGGATATCCTATATAGTCCAATTATCCCATATAGACATTGAGTAAAATTTCCCACCCCCATAACTCTGCCAAAACTCAACCGATTTTCACGAGGTTTGTATTTTTCTTCATTATTTGGCCCCTAGATTAATTTGGCATTTATATCTGGGAACATAATTTTTGGTCGAAATTCATGTAAGATTTGACAATCTGAATTCTTATATGGACATGGGTCGAAATTTCCCATCCCCATAACTCGGTCAAAACTTAACCGATTTTCACGAGGATTGGGGTTTTCTTCATGGTTTGGCCCCTAGATTAATTTGGCATTTATATCTGGGAACATAATTTTTGGTCGAAATTCATGTAAGATTTGACAACCTGAATTCTTATATGGACATGGGTCGAAATTTCCCATCCCCATAACTCTGCCAAAACTTAACCGATTTTCACGAGGATTGGGTTTTTCTTCATGGTTTGGCCCCTAGATTAATTTGGCATTTATATCTGGGAACATAATTTTTAGTCGAAATTCATCTAAGTGCGGGTACTTCCGGATATCCTATATAGACCAATTATCCCATATAGACATTGAGTAAAATTTCCCACCCCCATAACTCTGCCAAAACTTAACCGATTTTCACGAGGATTGGGTTTTTCTTCATGGTTTGGCCCCTAGATTAATTTGGCATTTATATCTGGGAACATAATTTTTCGTCAAAATTCATGTAAGATTTGACAACCTGAATTCTTATATGGACATGGGTCGAAATTTCCCACCCCCATAACTCTGTCAAAACTTAACCGATTTTCACGAGGATTGGGTTTTTCTTCATGGTTTGGCTCCTAGATTAATTTGGCATTTATTTCTGGGAACATAATTTTTGGTCGAAATTCATCTAAGTGCGGGTACTTCCGGAAATCCTATATAGTCCAATTATCCCATATAGACATTGAGTAAAATTTCCCACCCCCATAACTCTGCCAAAACTTAACCGATTTTCACGAGGATTGGGTTTTTCTTCATGGTTTGGCCCCTAGATTAATTTGGCATTTATATCTGGGAACATAATTTTTAGTCGAAATTCATGTAAGATTTGCCAATCTGAATTCTTATATGGACATGGGTCGAAATTTCCCACCCCCATAACTCGGTCAAAACTCAACCGATTTTCACGAGGTTTGTATTTTTCTTCATTATTTGGCCCCTAGATTAATTTGGCAGTTATATCTGGGAACATAATTTTTAGTCGAAATTCATCTAAGTCCGGGTGCTTCCGAATATCCTATAAAGACCAATTATCCGATATAGAAATTGATTAAAATTTCCCACCTCCATAATTCGGTCAAAACGCAACCGATTTTCACAAGGTTTAGTTTTTTCTTAATGGTCAGACCTCTAGAATAATTCGACGTTTAAGTCTGGGAACTTAGTTCTTGTCCAAATTTCCACAACCTTATAATTCAGTCAAATCTCTTCCGATTTAGTTTCTTGGTAATGTTTTTACCTCTTAATTAATTTGGCATCAAAATCTAACAACCTAATTTTTTTGTCGAAATTCATGTAAAAATTGTACCCTCCCTCAACTATCCCATGAAGTTGAAATTTCCCACTCCCTCTAGATAATAAAACAAAAAAAGATGTTTCAATTTTCAGCTCAACGTTAATAAAAAAGCCGCCGGCTTTGCTCAGCGGCACACTGACATTTAGAAAATCACGAATGTAAGTGCGTGTTAAATGACCACGCCCCCATACGAGAGAACAAAAAAGACCATTAACCAGAGCTGATAGGTAAATCTTACAAACCATTAAAGTGCCTCAGACGGCGCGTGTCTCCCCATCCTGTTAATTAAAATGCTGCGCTCGGGTATTATGTCATTAGCTCTATATGCAAAACATTTCAATGTCTGTCTCTGTGTGTGTGTGTGTGAGTGTGTCTTGGTGTGTATGTGTGTGTGTGTGTGTTTAGCATATGTATGCGTATGCTCGTCAAATCGTTTTTTTTTTTTGATACAGCCCAGCATAGCCACGCGTCGCACGGCATCCCGGCAGCCCGGCATCCCGACATCCTGGCATCCTGCGCGTATTTCCGGTGTGCGCGCGCGGCCTCTCGAACGAGAAGCGAGAAATGCGATAACTTCAAAATGGCTGCGTGCTCGTCCTTCGGCGTGTCCTTGTGCTTCTGCCTAACTGCTTTGGGCCCAGGTCCACGCAATTTGCTTGCAAACACAATATGATAAATAATAATAAACAAGGCGTGTGCAGGGCCCGTTTATAATGTCAGTCTCTGTAATGTCTGATGACGTTGCAGATAGCCAAATGCCAACGAAGTTGTTGTTGTTCTTGTTGTTGTAGTTGTTGCTGCCACGCTTTAAGCTGCCACAAAGTGCGTTCGAAATTTAAGACATCTTAAATCATGATGACAGAAAGGGTTTAGTGCAAAAAGTGCTTAGGCTGTCAGAGCTTTATGCCAATATGTATGACAGTCAGCAGCAGATATCTTCCACCCCATTAGGCATATATTCTCTTGATCAGCAATAATAGCTGGAACCATGTCTGTTCGTCTGTCCTTCCGTCCCTCTATCTGACTGTGTGAACGAGCTACTTGATCTAGTATCTACTATCTCGATATCTTTCTATGTTATCTTTTACATACTATCGATAAATATGAATTACATAAGTGCTAGATATTTCTTCAGAAGAACTTGTTATGCATATTCACAAAAATCATAGTCATATATCATCATATATTATGCATTATTTCAGCTCAAGCCTAAGCTCCCGCTGTTTCCCAAAAAACTTCAATCACATCTTGACACTCTAATATCTTCTCTTGGTTTCATACTATCGATAGTTATCGATTTGTAGGCATTCGATTTTTTGAGAATATCTTATCTCTAGATAGAAACTTGGTCTGTTTATTCCCAAATATGACATTCTTATTGGGAATATTTCTAAATTCATTTTATGTATTTCAAGTCTTAGGCTAAAGTATTTAAGGTATTTCGTGCCATATTAAAGCCCTGAAAATTTCATTAACATCGGACTCTTAAGAGCCGAAATATTCTATATATTGTTTCAGGCTAGGGTCCTAAGCAAAGACAAGAAGAAGCAAGCATGTGTGTGACTTCTGCAGGGTATCTGCTAGTCGTACACACCCGCTTGCTTTCTTGCTTGTTACTGTTGCTGTGGCATAAATTTCGTTGGCATAAATCAAAATTCAGCAACTTCCGATGAAGGCAGAGTGCAAAAATTTGCATGGTACACACAGCACACACAGCACAGTACAGCACACACACAACACACACACACACATACACACTGGTACACACTCATAGCAAACAATAGCTGCATTAGAAATGCACGCTCAAATGGCCGCCGCCCACGCATAACGCTCATACGCAGCGTTGGCCCCGCACCATAAATAACCCCGAGGCAGATAATTATGCATATATCTTCGGGGCCCCAGAGCACAACAGCTAAAACACTAATTATGTTGGCTAGTGCAACCAGTTTGTGAGCGTTGCAATTGGAGCGCCAATTTCACGAAATATTTTTGAATTTGCGTCATTAATTGCAGGCCATTCGCTGTGATTTATGTGCACTATCACATGTAAATTCAGGCAAAATATATATTCCCCTTAAATCTAAACTGAACATTATTTCTTTAACTTTTCAGAATATGTTCGACTTGAATGTTTCTATACAAAACATTTATTTCAAATAATTGTTATTTGGATTGGAAATTAATAATTGAAATCGAAAAAAACGCAGTAAGAAATAAAATAGAAAGAGTTAATAATATTAGTTATCTTTGGAATGCAAAAGATTAAGAGAATATATATTTGTATAACACTGCGGATATTGTTTCTAAATAAGGATTCTATAGTCTATTTTAATATTTAATAGTCTGATTCGTGGCAAAACCTATGTTTAAAGGAACTTGTCGGCCCTATTGATCTCCTTAAAGCATTTGGTATTGAAGGAACGCAATAAGATATTAAGATAAACGCAGAGAAAATCAACTTAGTAAGAAATAAAATAGAAAGAGGTAATAATAATAGTAATCTTTGAAATGCAAAAGATTAAGAGAATATATATTTGTATAACACTGCGGATATTGTTTCTAAATAAGGTTTCTTTAGTCTATTTCAATATTTAATAGTCTGATTCGTGGCAAAACCTATGTTTAAAGGAACTTGTCGACCCTATTGATCTCCTTAAAGTATTTGGAACTGGATGAACGCAATAAGATATTAAGAACGGATTCTCTATTTACTTGATTTCTCTATTTGCAGAGTCAAGTGGAATCCATTGCTTAACCAAAACGTAGCCGTTGACGCTTCGGAGGGACGCGCCATGTACGAGAACTCGTGTTCGTATCAGACGGCGCTGGACTTGAAGCGCGTGTCGCCGCCGACGCTGGCCCAGGTGAAAACGGAGGACTGTCTGACTTTGGGCCAATGCTCGCCGGACTGGACCTCGTATCGGTTCCATCAGTCCACATTCGAGCAGCTGAAGCAGAGCGTCGAGAAGGCCAAGGCAGCGCTGCAGGATCGCAGCAGTTTCTTTGGCGCCAGCAGCGCTTTCAGGTGAGTCGCCCAGCTGAGAGCCGCTGCCCCTCTCAGCTTCTAATGCCATTCGGTTGTGCTTTGCAGCGACATCTACTCCAGCCAGCGGCTGACCGATACGCTGGACACACTGCCCGCCATGCAGAATGGCACGGGCGCCGGCAATTGCCTGGGCCTCACGCACAATGCGGGCGCCGGCGTGGGCGTCGGAGTGGGCGTGGGCGTGCTCAATTATAACACGGTGAGCAGCAGCAGCGCCGGCGTCCTGGGCAGCAGCGTGCAGCGGCATCGCCTGGACACACTGCAGCCGCCATCGGGCTGCTCGCCCGTCGGCACACAGCACGGCGTCATCACCTCTAGTGCGGGCCATGTGCCGGCTGCCTCGTTGGATGCGGTCAGCTCGCCCTCGGTGCTGCCGTCGCTATCAGCGTCCACCACCTCGCACGTGGAGCACAAAGTTCGAACAGGTAGGAAGAAGTAACCAAAGATAAATGTGAATATATTTGTGCTGACAAGGAAAGTCATCTGAACTCTTTAAATATGTTTATGAATATGTTCATATGTGCATCTGTATTAGAACTGAAATGGTTCGAACCCGGAAGAGTATTTTGTTTTTAAACATAAGCCAAAACTTGAATCAACCCAGTTGACCACAAAAAAAAAGTTCTATCAAAACCTGAACCGAACCGTATTTTTAGGTGCACGAACCGAACCAGGGTAACTAGTTCAAAATATTAGCCGAATAACTAACTGCCTCTGCTTCGACCCTGTCTTGGTTATTCCAGCCCTGGAATGTCTGGATGTTGCCTGAAAGAAGGAAGCTGGTTCGACGCTTAAATCGAACCACCGAATCAAGTTGATTTTGGTATTTCCAACCGTGAGCCGGAGGCACTTTGATGCGTAAACCGATTCAGAGCTAAACAGATTTATTCGAAGGCTCGTGAGCCCGTTTGTTTGATCACCTTGAGTCACAGGCCTGGTTCGAAGCGTAAGCCAAGTGACCAGCCCTGCTTTTGAAAAATTCCAACCCTGATTCGAAGCTTAAATTAAATTCCTGACCACATTTCTAATATATCTAACTCTGATTGAAACAAATCTATTTCCAGTTTCGATATACTGCTTGTTCAGCTAAACTGTCTGATTTGTTTGGTTTTATTCGCGAACCGAACCACATTTTGTTAGCTTGCAGCCCTAGTTTTAAAGGTGCATTGGCAGCCCCGTCTGTTCGTATATTTTACAATCAAATATTCCATTGTAGCAGCTTGTTTAGCTGATTTTTAGCCGTAAAGCAACCCACTGACCTTCTCGCCGTGGCTCTAACACAAATGTCAGCGAAATGGCGGAAAAACAAATCCTGCGCTTCCGGCAGAGCTAAAGCCAGAACAACAAAAAAAAAAACGAAGAGAAAACAATTGTTGTTTCTTTTACAAAAGTGGCAAATTTCGCGTTTATTTATTTAAACACATCCAAGCAGCATATGTTGACCATTGGCCGTTGGCCGCCCACAAAAGGCAATGCCGAAAAATGTTCGCGTCCAAAGTCCGTTACATTTTATGGGCCAAAAAATGTGGCAAAAAACCGCTAGCTGGACATAATTTGTTCTTGTTGCTGTTGTTGTTTTGGCCCAAAAATAAAATAAAAGAAATTATAAAAAAGTCAAATTGAATTATCCATATAAACGTCAAGGTCTTGCTTGCAGTTGCCTCCCTCCACTTGTTTATCAATTTAAGCCGGCGCAACGGATGTGGCTTATAATGTGGCCAGAAAAGGGGGGCGGGTGGGCCGAGTGTATGTGTGTGTGTGTGTGTGTTTGGATAGAAACATCAAAAATGCACTGTCCACACAATAGCATCGCGTGCCTGGCGAGAATTTGTTATGCCGCCTCCGTCATGTTGTGTCCACTTATATCTACAAGAAATTCTTTCCTATTCTCGTTTTTTTTTCATGTACCCTGTACTCTTTGAAAAGGGCTAAAGCGGGTATGTTGTTTCTGTGGGTATGTGTGTAAGAAGTAGAGGGAGGCATTTTCTAGCTAGGTCCGTCTGCCTGTGTATTCGTTTCCCTGCCCGTCCGTCCTTCTCCCTTTCCGCCCATCTGTGCGAGTTCATCCATATCGGAGACTACAAAGGATACAGAGTCGAAATTTATACTCTCGTTTACAAAATCTAGAATGAGGTATTTGTTTATCGATATCTCCTATGTTGATAAATTTCGAAATTAATCGACTTTAATCACCGAAGTTATTCAGAAAAGCAATTCCATTGCGTTGGGTTGTGTGGGTGCTTCGTTCTCTTATAATATTTGGATACAGGGTATCTGCTAAACAGTCACCCACTTTTCCCTTGTTTCTTTTTTTTTGACTTTTTAATCGTCTTGGCTTTGTGGCCTGTTTTGGTAAGCCGGAATTCAATATGACAAGCAAGCGAGTCCCCTTGACTGGGGTGGCCCAAAATGGCCGCCAGCTGAAGCCAACTCAAACCCAGCCTCGAAGCGCTCAAGCAAATATGAAATGAATCCTTTTAAGCTGTCTCTCGAGGACAGTACACCTCTCTCCCACTTTCTCTTGCCGTCCCTCTCCCCCTCCCTCTCCCTCTCTAGCTGTCTTTATGAGCTTTGCTGCTGTCAACTGCTGCCTTCTGCTCTGCTGCCATCGCATAAAAGAACTTTGTCATGCGTAACTCATTATTTTTGCTGAAAAACGTTTGGCTCACAAAGCACATAAAAGATAATTACGCTCCCCATCATTTGGTGTAGTATTTCGTATATAGTCCTTCTACTGAATGACCCCCACATTGGAAAACCAGCTAAGAATGCAAACAAGAAACGGCTTACTGAACAATTCCTTGTCAATATTTCTTTTGGCTATTCTAAGCAAAATTTTGCAAAGTTTTCTAACTTTACGTTCAGTCAGTCAGCTATTTAGATGGTACTTCCGGTATCAAATCCGAACTATCATAACTTGGCCAAAACTGAACCGATTTGTATGCTAGATGGTTCTTTTATTCCTGGCTTGTGCTCTAGATTGATTCTACATGAAAATCCAGGCATATTGGAATATTTTATTTGATTTTGATTTTCTTTTAAATTATTTGTGGAATCTTCAAATGTTATTCTCAATCGGGGTAAGAAATGCTAGCTTAGAAATGATTTAGAGAGTGTCTTTATTTCTATCCAAAACCACGTAAAATATGTCTAAAATTTGCCTTTAACAAATACACAATGTTAGTATAGACATTAACTAGGCGTCTATTAAGCTTCAAGCTTCCAAAACTTTCCCAACACTTAACCGCATTCTGACAAATGAGCACATTTTTGTCATGGTTTGTCCTCCAAAATGTATTCTATACAATTTTGCGAGTACTTTTTCTTGTGAAAATATTTTGTGTGGCACATTTTATTATTCTTACCCCTTATTCATTTTTAGAAATATTTCTGTATAATTTATATATAAATTATTTTTATTATTATTTTATATAAATTATTGTGAGCCGCTTCAAATTTCTCGCAAGAAATAGGTGAAAGTTGACCAAAACTATGACATAGTATCCGATCTCTTTGGTCTACAAACTTTCCTAACTCTGGCAAAAGCAAAGCGATTTGCATGAACAAGGTCATTTTGTTTAAAGCTCGATCTGCAGTTAGTGTATACTTTAGGTGCTCAATTGGGATCAATTAGTTCTTGAGAAAAGGTATACTATTCTTTGTTAAAGCTTTGCTCAACCCAAGGTTATTTGCGTATCATATTTGACTATCTTTGTGATCTACAATTATGACACAGTCACGTTCCCAGGCACTCAACTCTAGCTAATTTTAGTCTCGTCCTTATGACTATTATCGGACATGGACATCAAGCTGTACATTGACATTTCAATTGAAAGCGTTGCGAATTTCGCCGACTCGCTTATTGTTGTTTACATCAAACAAAGATTTACGGCAATTAAACACGGCTACGGCTGCTGCTGGTCTAATGTCTGAAGTGACAACCCTCGCGATTATATCCTTTGCGGTTCACAGGATCTGTCTGTCTCTGGGGGTGGCTGCCGAGCGGCGTTGCGTGTCAGGCGAGCGTCATGGTTGGGCGGCGGCACCAGCCACGACCAACCATAATTTGGGCAATAAATAAACGGGCCAGTTACGTTTATCTATGTTGAGATTTATGACTGGGCCTCCTCTGCGCTCGGCTCTGTGGTCTGCTCCATGCCGAATGGCGAAGCGTGTCGCGCTGAGTGTGCAAATTTGTGCTGCCTAGCAATTAAAATTTGTTTGTTTGTTTCTCTTTTTTCTCCTTTTTGTTTTGTGCAGAGAAATCCACGCTGGATTGCGCCACAACGTCCTCGCATGCCGCCGTCGCCTCGTCCTCCACGGCAGCCGCGTCCGTGTCCAGCAGCGAGCTGGGCAGGCACAGCGTCGGCAAAAGCAACGCCAGCAGCAGCAGCAACGGCCACAATAATGCCAGCAATTCACTCTGTAAGTATTACTTTCTTCTTAAAGTTATATCAACTATATCTTTTTACTGGAATACTCTGAAATTCGCTTGTCAATCGCGTGAGCTTAGCCTTGACAGCTTTCAGTCTGGACAAGAACCAGCGACAAAAGCAGCTCAGTTGCTGTCTACGCGCCAACAGAGGGCGCTGCTGCGGCAAAGTTGTTAGCCGCCTATTTGTTCATGTTAAAATTATGTTCATGTCAAAGAAAACATATCAATTAACATGTTGTTTTACTAGATATTTTTTTATTAGTGCTGCCACTTTGATTATACCTTGAAAAGGCTGTGTTAATGACATTTGACTGTACTTGCACTTCATGTTCCAGTAAACATTGTAAACTTGGGCGAACTTCTAAATCTATATCACTTAGTTCTTAGAACTTAGAAAGCAAATAATCTAGCTTTGCCGAACAGTGTTGCCACCTTGTTTACACCCTGATAATTGTACATGAGCTTAATGTTCGTGTGAACTCTCAGTAAGATTGGGCTAATATCTTAATGTATATCCCTTAGAATGTAGAATGCAAATAATGTAGCATCAACTAACAGTGTTGCCACCTTGCTTACATAATTGTACTTGAACTTAATGTTCACGTGAACTACCTAAGATATTGGGGAGATATATATTTATGTGTATCCCTCGAAACCAAATAATGTAACGTACAGTGTTGCCACCTTATATATATCCTGGGTTGACATTTTGTTGTATAATTGAACTTAATGTTCGTGTGAACTACCTGTAGCATTTGGGGGGAAAAGCTTAATATCTCAATTGCGAACACCACTTGACTTTGATGCCTAGAATCTAATCTAATCTGGCACTCCGAAAGATGCGCCCCTCAGCAGGACACAACAGTGGGAAAGTTGGGCAAACAAACGATGAGCTGATGTCCTTGCCACTGTAAACATACAGAACGCAACAGTCACAACAATTGTGATTGCAGCTAGCGTTGCCAGCCGTTGATAATTTGACTCTTAAGTGCTCTTCAGAGATAATCCTATTAAGCGTGTGGCTCGCACAGTCACACGAACGGACCGTCGCAGAGGGCAACCCCCTCTTGGCAGACACAATGAGGCTAATCGACAGATCATAAAATGATCAAAATGTTATGTGAAGCGCATTAGGACGCACGCGTCGCTGACAGGGCCTAACCCTGGCGGGGAGGGGGCGAGAGTGTAAATTATTGAAGGGTAGCTGGTAGCTGGTTTCAGAGTGTGAGACACACTTTAGGCACGGACAATTGAACGGCGGCATTTTGTGTTTTTATTTTCGGGTTAGATAGAGTAAACAAGATGTGATTATTTGTAGTACTCGGGATTACAGCTTAATTAATTTAAATATTTATGGCACTGAGAAAAGAAATATTATTCGGTTTAATCAGAGGGTTGAATTGGCAAAGATGTTGAAGTTAGCTGTCAAAGCTCATGTTGATTTAAATATTTATTGCACTAAGAAAAAACCTTTTTCTGTATAATTAGAGGGTTCAATTGCCAAGGATGTTGATGTTTATCTGTCAAGGCCCGTTTTTCGATATATAAAAAATTATTATTTATATGTATAATTGTTATACACAGTTTAGACTGTCAAAGAGAGTTTATTTGCTTTACGCAATGTAAAATTATTTATTTCCTACAACCACAGTTTGAAAGTCAGTTGAAGCTAGAGTCTTAGAGTCACCAATTCCCTTCTGGGTTTAAGCAATGTTCCTCGTGTGCGGCTTATGTCATGCTCCAGTAGACTTATGTTAATTAATCTTACTTCTTTAAGTTAGCGTAGAAGTCTGCGTCGAGTAATATTTAACATTTAAGTTCATAACGAGTGAAATCGACTATTCTGGGTGTCCACCCATGCTCAATTTATCTGTTTCTAGTAGACTTATACTTAACTCAACTAACTGTGACTTGCATGAACCATGATGATTAGAACAAACATTACAGAGTTTTCTGTTCAGAGTCTTCTCTTCCACGTATTAAGTATTCTATTCTGAGCTATTAAGCAATTAGTCTTAGTCTATAATCTGAGTAGTATACAGTCTATATGTAGTCTATACTCCTTAGTCTAAATCAACATAAAAAAATCTTTTGAAAATTAGGGGTATATTCTTTCTGTTTTCTTCGAGGTTTACGTCTCTTTCATTAGGCTTAGCTGTTCTTCATTTAACTAAACGGTTTGCAGTTCCGGTTCAGTCAAATAAAAGACGGGAATTCACGATTCAAATACTTTAAGTGTCTGTTCCTTTTAAGATTGCATCTATAGGTTTTATTCAATATTTGCTACTTGACCTACAACTGGGAGCTCCAATTGACAACAGAATCGTTCAAGAATTAAACATATTTAAGAACTCTCAACTATAATTATAAAAAGTTGTTGCTTTGTGAAATGATTTAATTAAAATTAAATCAAATTTTCAAATGCCCAAACATTTGCCTATCGCGCGGCGCATCTCTCATCAAGTTTTGCAGCATAATCTGATAATCTGTGAACAGCATTAGACCCCACCCTGGACGCGCAGCGGGTGTTTAACTTGTGCCACACCCACACACACAGAGAGAGAGAGAGAGAGGGTACTTCCCACATTGTGCCAGTGTTGCACGTTTTACACTTCCCGTCCCTTCCCTCCCTGGCCCTGCTGTGCGGGGGCGCCGTATGTTTTGCTCACTTCAAATTTAATTTCTGATTTCATTTGCGCACAGTTTGTATTTCATTTTTTTTTGGCATTTTTTTTTTTTGCTGCTGCTGTCGTAATTGTTTCAGGCTGTGAAAATAAATTGAAAATTGTGCTGTGCCAACTGGCGCACGTTGGCAACACTGGCTCTGCTGCTTCTTCTTCGCTTTGCGCCGCGTCCCTTTTGACAGCTTCGCGCACTGACGCGCTGCGGCTTCAATTTATGCGCTCATCTTTTTTAAATGCTTAAAAAATGTAATTTTTTTCTTTCTGTTTTTTTTTTTTTGGCCAAAAACTCATATGAGCATGACTTGGCCTGGTTCACAAAAGTTCAAGCGCTTGAGCAACTTTTTCCCATGCTTTCCATTTTCTATTGATGTCCAAATATTTTTATTCATGGCCCTTTTCGCGGTTCACTTAACTCCCAGCATAGTCATTATGGCAACCCCCTGAGATTTGTGCACGAGTTGCTCATAAATCAATTCATTGTTGTTATTGTTATTGCCCAACCCCCCCTAGAAAAGGCCGCCCCCTGGTCGATAATAATGCTGATGACGGCAACAAGCTGGAAAATGTTGCTAATTTAGTTGTGCATTGATTTTTTGCGCGCCGATAAAAACAATTTGCCTAAGCAATAAACTAAAAAAAAAAAAAAACAATTAAAAGCGAAACTTTAAAAGAACAAAAAACTGTCAGGCAAATAGAGAGAGAGAGAGAGAGAGAGGGAGGGAGGAGGAAAGAGAGGCAGAGAGTGGTCGGCAACAGGTCGCTTCCGTTGCGGGCCCATTGTGATTTATGCCGCTGAAAATGACCCGCTTCCGACATGAAATATCAAAAATCACGCGCACTTGCAAAGTTTAGAAACACGGACGACGACCAACAACAACACTGGCGGAGACAGAGTCGGAGGCGGTGGCAGAAAACACTCTGGCAACCTTGTCGTTTGCACCTACCGCCGGAAACGCAGCGCAGCCAGAGCCGGAGGTGGCCGTGTCGAAGCGTCTCCGGTGGCCAAGCGACTGCAATTTAGTTGTCAATTGAATTTATGAGCTACGACCTCAACAATTTATTGTGTCGCACTTTTGATTTCGGTTGCTTTCTTTCTAGTTTTTTTTCTTTTCTTTCACATCTCAAGCGTTGCCAGACTTGCGTAGGGTGGAGGCGGGGCGAGCGTGAGACTAAAAATTATGACCAAAAGTCAATCGGGCCAATTGACAGCACGGCGCGAGGGTCGCACGAGTCAAACCGCGACGTTATTTATGACCCCGCGTGAGCCACGTGAACCTCAACCTCAGCCTCAACCCCTTGCGACCCCCACCCTCAAATGTAGTTTGTTGTCTGTTAATTGTTTGTTTGCTGTTTGTTGTCACTCGGCCCTCGAGTCCCCTGGCGTGTGAATATGTTAGCTTTCAAACAAAAATTGAGTAAATTTAAGCATATTCGAAAACAAGTCAAACGTTGCAGTTAACCGTCGTGCAATCGGAGTCAGGAATCGCACCACGCACCGTACACCCACCCTCCTTTACAGCACTTCCCCTCGCGCCGTTAGCCAACACTTTCCCAGCCGTTTCGATTGCGCAATTATTGCGCCCATTGTTTAGTTAGACACCGCGCATAAAAAGGGACACCAACAATATGTTTTTTTTTTCTGCGTGCTCTTAATTTGTTTTTATTACAATTTTCACTTTTGATATTATTTTTCCTTGGGAAACCTTGTCGATACATTCATCTGATAACTCAATTGTGTTGGTCAAATATATATTACGTAGTCTTCGCACTTTGGAATTTTGTTCTATGAACCAAACAAATGGGATATATACTATGGTTAGTTTTTCGAGCTGTGGTTGTCTTATATCTTCTTAGGGTAGTCTGGCCTAACCTATCCTTACCTTATCCTTTCCTTACCTAGATCCTAGATATTGTGTTTCACTCCAATCAAAATCTTCTCGTTGGTCTTAAATACTATATGAGGCATCAAAACAATATTACAAATACTTCTTATTCTTACTCAACTGCCTCAAGTACATTTATTTTCCACTTGCCCAATCATCGACAACAATAGAACCCATCTAATGTCTAGTTTCTTTTCATACGCGTACTACCCCCAACATAAAACTTTAGCCATTATTGCAGGCAAATTCGACGCTGATTTATGGAATATTTCACTTTATAGCCGTTGCCGCCCATTTGATTAACAAATTATTGAACCAGGCAAAAGTCCCATACAACCGAATATCCAACACAATGCATTGTATTCGCATGCTCTTACATATTGCGAATCGATATGTATACTTATCCATTTGGGCTATCGAAAG